TTCTATAAGCTTTTCAACGAGCCCCCTCATGCCTTATGTTTCCATTTGAAAAAAAAAGTAGGGGTAGCTGGGGGTTAGGGGGTTGAAGAAAAATTAATTATTATATAACCGAAAGATGGGAAAAAATCAAAATCAGTTAACGTGTTTCGGCGTTTTAAAAAAAATTAACTCATTCAAAAGATATGAATTTTATTCCGTACTTCTGGCCATCCCTGTATGTACAGGTTGTAACTGAGGTATTTGTGAATGTATGCAGGATCTGTGTATAAGCGTTTAGGTTCGTTGTATCTATTAAATTATCGATTTTTACGAAATCTTTAGTTAAGGTTTTCTAATGTTTATTTGAAGCTGAAGGTTGATTTTGTCTTTGAATACCCAAAATCTGCAATGAGCCCCACGTATGAATTTTTTTTCAGAGTTATATCTAAGGATAAACCTACTGAATGCAGAGTTTTGGTTGCTTTTTAGCTTTTAGGAGTGATTTTTTTTCAATTCAAGGAAACTGGAGATGATGGAGTATTTTCCATAGCAGGTTAGATTTCTAGGAGTAAACTATATGCATACAGAGTGTCCCGTAAAGTATGTTACAAACTTTGGGTGGTGATAGTACATAAAAAAATATGACTAAAAACTCTAATAGACATAACCTCTTAAACGCAGCTTTTTGAAGTTATAGGCCTTAAAAGGTGCAACTACAAAAGTAGTTTTTGTGACGTATCTCTTTGTTGGAAAAAGAAAACATAATGAAATTTTCAGGGAAGCCAATAAATAATGTGGATATTAATAAAATTGAGAAAGCGGAAGGGTCTTTTTTTTATCACCCTGTATCCTATTTTATGCCAAAAAAATTTGTCTGCAAAGATACAGCAAATATCATAAGATTTTTAGAAAGACCATTGAATTTAGAAATTTTTTTTTCTCTTGCATTTTTTATGTAAAATGATTAGTTTTCTAATAAATTTACAAAATGCAAAGGGAGTTTACTCACCGCTAGGTGTTAAATTTGACGTATTCAAAAAGTAGGCGCCTGTCACTTTTAACATAGTTGACATTTGTTACCATATTTTAATCGTGTCTGTTGACGAATTATTAATTTGTGAGTACAATGGCGGATAACAATCGTTTTACTAATCAAGAATATGCCGAAATGCATTTTATTTATGGATTATGTAATGGAAATGCAACAGCTGCTCGAAGAACATACATAGAACGTTATCCGCAGAGACGTCAGCCGTCTACACAATTATTTACTCGGATTCACAGACGGATTATTGAAACTGGTAGTGTGGTACCCCGTTACATACATTGTGGTAGAATTGCTAGAAGACTACCCGCGCAAGATGAACAAATTTTGAGATCTTTTGAACAAAATCCGGGAGAAAGTGTGCGAAGGGCAGCTAATCAGTTACAGCTTTCCAGAATGTCAGTTTGGCGTGTTTTGAAGGAAAACGGCCTTTATGCCTACCATCTCCAAAAAGTGCAACATTTAATGCCTGAAGATCTTCCCCGACGCCTAGAATTCTGCCGAATAATACTTAACCATCACCAACATAATGTGGAATTTATTAGCTCCATTTTATTTACCGATGAAGCCACCTTTACACGAGATGGTTTACTGAACTTGCACAATGCACATGCATGGTCAGACGAAAATCCTCATGCTACCATTGATAGTCATCACCAACACCGATTCTCAGTCAACGTATGGGCTGGAATAATAGGTGACTATTTGCTCGGGCCTTTCTTTCTACCTCAAAGGCTTGATGCAGTAGAATATTTAAACTTCCTAGAAAACCATCTCCCTGAGTTAATGGAAAATGTTCCTTTAAATTTGAGACAATACATGTGGTACCTCCATGACGGGGCACCTGCGCATTTCAGTGTTCATGTTAGAGAGTATCTACATATGCGGTTTCCTAATCGATGGATTGGAAGAGGATATAATGCACCAATAGCCTGGCCACCGCGATCACCGGACTTGAATCCTGTCGATTTTTATCTTTGGGGACACGCGAAATCTCAAGTTTATGCAACCCCTGTTGATACAGAAGATCAACTTAGACTGCGAATTGTAGAAACCTTTAATTTAATAAGAAATAGTCTATTCATATTCCAAAGTGTCAGATTTAACTTTATAAAGAGACTGACAGCATGTATCGATGCAGAAGGAGGTCAATTTCAACATTTATTGTAATAACATATTTTGTTTTAGTTCTGTTTTGGTTACTTAATTAAAAAAATTATTTTGGAAATTGATTGTACCTATCCTTAAAAATTCACTAGGCTTAAGAAATGTATGTAAATAATTCGGAAGCACTCATCTCTCTACATTTTGTAAATTTACTAGAAAACTAAATATTTTACATAAAAAACACAAGAGACAAAAAAATTTCTAAATTCAATGGTCTTTCTAAAAATCTTATGATATTTGCTGTATCTTTGCAGAAAAAATTTTTTTGGCAAAAAATAGGATACAGGGTGATAAAAAACACCCTTCTGCTTTCTCGATTTTGTTCATATCCGCATTATTTATTGATTTCCTAAAGCTGATTAGCCCCTGAAATTTTCATTAAGTTTTCTTTTTCCAACAAAGAGTTACGTCACAAAAACCATTTTTGTAGTTGCACCTTTTAAGGCCTATAACTTCAAAGCGGTGCGTTTAAGAGGTTATGTTTATTAGAGTTTTTAGTCATATTTTTTTATGTACTATCACCTCCCAAAGTTTGTAACATACTTTACGGGACACCCTGTATAGAGTTACATGGCTACATGGTACATTATGTGAAACAGTCCACGTTTTGTGTACGTGTGAAACAAAAAAAAAGGAACATTTTTTCCTAAATCAGTTCCTAAATGCTGTGCCATCCTTCAAAGAAGAAAGAAAGAAGTGAAACAAAGACATCAAAATTTATACAGTACAATACAATAGCAGCTATCTTCATGTAAGATTCAAATAAAAACTAATCATTGTGGTAGGAATAGGAGTGGTCTGAGGAGTTTCTGCTGTCAAAAGAAGTTATTTGAGATTAAATAAAAACTTTTACAGATTTTGATGGACCATTTATATTTACAACTTTTGTATCTCAGAATACATCATTTACGGGTAAAAGTCCAAATTATGGATATTGTTATATAGCAACCAAGCACATAATAAAATAAAAATAACTTGCATTAACTGTCGTTGAGCTCCTAACATTCTCAATAGTTTTTGGATTTGTACTCGTGAAACGTCCATTCTACAAAGAATGCCTAAGAAAAATGTTTTAATTGGAAACGATTCTTCAAAATGTGTGAAGGAAGATTCTCTAGAATTTACCGTGAAAAAACTGAACTGTACCACATTTAAATGTATGTGTTCAATGATTCTTGAGTAATTTGACCGAAAACTACAATCAGTCCTGATTAGACCCTGTATATTAAACTTACAATCCACTTCTTTTCTTGTATTTTCTTTGCCATTGAAGATTTTAAAAACAAGATTATTTCTAGGTGCATGAATCATAACTGTAATTTAACAGATCTACTCACTCTACTCATTTTATTGTTTGCCGAATGAACAGTTTTCTTAATAATAAGTGTGATGTCAGAATTGTTTCTATTTAAAAAATATTTAGGCAATAGGCATCAACTCTGGTTTTATTGCTTCTCGTTTTAAAGCGACTTAATAACAAAATCCTTGTATTTCTGATTTATATACAAGTAGAACTGTTTTATGTTTGATTATGATGTTACAAAAGTCGAAAGGAAAACAAATTTATTAATAGTAAATAATGATTCTTACACAATTTCTATGAACTAACTCTAACTATTGGATCATTTTAAATTTTATTGTCATTTACTCTTCTATATCTGATTTATTCAAAACTATAGTTAAATATCTGTGTCACACTGCTTCGTAACAATGGAAGAATTTCACCTTATTTATATGGAATATATGCTTAAACAGAATAATAAACGGTGACAAGCTTTGGCTATTAATAATTATTACGCGTCAATATACCATTGAAATTATAATGAATAAATTAATATAAAATTAATGAAGAGGTAATGTTATTACTTTGCCTTGATATTCTTGGTGTTAAGTAGTAAAATTTAAAATATGTGCCTATTTTTATAAATTATCACCAAACTTATGGGATCAGATGCTATTTATATATTTTTATTACTGTCGATTTAAATGTTGATCGCATAGATAACTATTTTTTTAAATATTACAAAGTAACTAGTGTAAAGTAATGACATTTCAAAAATAAATCATTATTGAATTCTTAAAATTTTTTAATTATGTCATCACACCATTGTTGAGAGACATAGAGACGTCAACAGTAATGTTTTTTCTATAAATTAAAATAATATTGAATTTGTTAATGCAATTTAACTTATTTGACAGTATTTAGAATAGGTGGTATACTTGATACCAAAATGATAGTAAACTGATGGGTGTCAGATATTGCAGATTCTTTGCTTAAAAGAAGTACAATATATTCATTAAATTATTTGTAGCTGCCATGTTTAAAACAATTTCTACATTAATCTACATTTTTATATTAAAATTATGAAAAATTTAATAAATATAAAAAATTAAGGCGACATGTGGTACATCGCATGAAAGAGGAAAAAACAAGCAATATTTTGTATCCACAGCTTACTTCGATGACAATTTGCTTTTTGTACGCGTAGAGGACGCAGCAAATTGCATACGATACTTCAAAAATTTGTTTACACCGGGTGAAAGATATCATTTTTGCCCGTCTAAATTTGCACTACCCTCCAACACTTCTATACCGATAGCTCAGTAAAACATATTTTTAACATAATCCCAAATGTATGAATTACTTTATGTCTTCATTCTTTTTATGTCATGAGTTTTCATTTCAATGGAAATATAAATGACAAACATTATTTTAGGACTATCGATTTTATTATAGAAAAGTAGAAATCTTATAACAAACATCTAGAGATCTTAAATAGAGATAATTATGTACTGTTTTCTTTTTTAGCTTATTGCCGTTTGTTGCATAGGGCTTCACTACAAGAGTCGTACAAATGACTTCAATGCCGATTCCCTTTCTGTAACTGCATTCGGAGGCTACATCATTATCCTCATAGGAGGTTTCGCAGGTAAGATCTCAAGTAATTTGTAGTCAGAGGTGTTAATGTTAAAAAAAACTATTTTTTTTAAAGTAGCCACCGATCTTGTTTTGAATATTATTGGTGAATCTACGTGAATCAATGTAAAGAGCAAAATCAATAAATAACACTTTTGGAGTTTTTCTATTTGTGTCATGTATGTTTCTATGTTACCAAAGTCAATGCTTGTTTTCATCTTTTTTAATTCACCAATAAAACTCCTGTTTAACTAGATGCAGAAGCGAGACTATTATAGTCGTTGTTCTGGTCTTACTTTATTCATCTATACTTGATTTTAAAAGCCCAACTTCTGCAGTCTTGCTTTATTTTTAAACTCCCGATATTGTTAAATCAAGATCTACATCGGGAACAAAACTGTTATCATTTTCAACTATTTTCTTTTCTCATTATAATTCGTAAAATTAAAACTGTTTTGCTTAACCCTGATTTAAAAGCAATAATCCTAATCCTAATCGATCTTGCTTTATTCCTCAATTCAATTTTTTTAAATCAAAAGTAAGTTCAAGAACTATTATGATTTTGATCTTCTCTTTTTTCATCCTTACTTACGAAATTGAAACAAACTTCAGTCACTTTGATCAGAAGACTGCTACAGCTTAATTTGTCTCGCTTTATTTATCAATTCTCGACATTGTTAATTCAGGATTAAGCTTAAGAACGAGAATTTTATGATCTTTCTGTTAGGTCTTCCTTTTTCATCATAACTCACAAAATTATACCTCGGTTCTGCACAACTTAAGTTTAATAGCAAAACTGCTACAGTCTTAGTTTTGATGTTGCCTTTATCATCAACTCTCACTTTGTTAAATCAAGACTATGGACTTGGTTGTGATCTTCCTGTCCATGTTCAGTTTAAAAGCAGTACAGCTGTAGTCTTAGTTTACCAAAATGTCATGGTTTATTAATCAACTTTGACTAAGTTCAAGAAAGATCGTTATGGTCTTGGTTGTGGCCAACCAATAACTAATTCACAAAATTGATTTAGCTCAACTTGAGACTATAGTCCTTTTACTTTATCCATCAAATTTTGACTTATTAACTGTTAAGACATACTTCAAGAACAAGACTATCATTATTTTGGTCTTATATTTTCATCATATGATTCACAAAATGGAAATTATATCTTGCTGTTAAACTGTGATTTAGAAACAAGACTTGTATACATTTGGTTTTGCTTTTAATTTATTCATTCGTCAACTTTCGATGCTACTAAATCTATATCAAGTGCAACAAGAAGACAGCTATAGTTTTGGTTTTGGCATTCCTTTCTCCTCATAGTCCACAAGAGTAACTTCTCTTTTACTCGAATATAAAAGCAGGAGTACTACAATATTCGTTTTGGTCATGCTTTATTCATCAACTTTGTTAAATCAGGATCAAATCCTTTTCAATTTTCGTGATAGTTTACAAGATTAAAACTCCATTTCATTCAATTCAAATTGAATTCAAAAGCAAAACTGATGGGGTCTTGGCTTTAGTCTTGCTTTATTCATCAAGTCTTGATTTTGTTAAATCATGCTCAAGCATCAGTTTGTTACAGCTTTCTTAGTATAATTAAACATTAAAATTCGACTCCCTTAAACTTAAAGTTAAAGTCAAATAAATTCAAATTTAATATAAAGACTTCAGTAGTCTCGGTTTGTGTTTTGTGTCTGATTAATAAAGTCCAGAATGTTTATTGAATTAAAATCATGTCTTGGTCTGGTTTTACTTAATTTGTTACTGCTTCTTGAGATTGACACATATCTCCTAACAGAAAGATAACTGGAACACACGCATTTGTTCACAGGCTACATAATGAGCACACCAATAAACAAAAGGATCGACATCTTCTTCAGCTTGGTTGGTTGCGCTATCTTCGTAGCAGCCGGAGCACTCAACATCCATATATTCCAAGATTATGGAAAAAGCGAATGGAAGGACTATGGCCTCGCCAAAGCTTCCCTGTCCATCATCAACGGAGCCCTCTTCTTGCTCGACTCCTTGCTCACCTGGAGGGGAGACTTTTAAACGTTAATTTTATTTTTTAACTTCATTTCGACGACAAATTTTTGCACAACTTTTTACCAAACGTTTCTTTGTATATAGTTTACGGTCACTTGGTTTCAGCTGTCCTTTATTTATTTTCAAAATGTCAACAGTGGCCTCTGTATGTATACCTCATCTAAACACAAATCAGTGTTTGTTTTCAATGTAACTGCTAGTGTATTAAAGGTACAAGTATATCCAAGAGAGCTTACGTGTATAGAGATTTAGAGTAGAGTAGAGATTCATTAAAATACTGACTATAATGAAACTCTACAGTAGATCTAGTGTCTTAACTATTTTTATACTATTACTTATTAACTTTTTTAAGTCTATTAGAAGTTAACTTTTGTATGCATCGTTTACCTGATGACCTGAATGTTTTTATCAAGAAGTAATTTTAAACAAATCTGTCTGAATATAAACAATACTCTAATATCATCAACAGTCGTCAGTTAAACGTTTCAATATTTACGAAAATAATACAGATGCTGAATATACCTTTTATATACGTATACAAAATTATTTTGGAACACCATTAATGACTATTTTTCTAATTCTAATTACGAATTATTTAATAAGTATTCCTGATCAAAATGACCTCGGGTAATTAGTACAACGTCATATTATGCAGTGCTGACCTGATATTTTTGTATATATTTTATACACGGATTTTTTAAACGTTTGTTGTATTTTTTGTAATTTATTAATGAGTGTTTTCCATTGTCTTGAGCTTTAAATGTTATTATATTAATGTTAAATGTATAAACAACACTGAATAAAAGTCTGGTTTAAAAGAAGTGTTTTTATTTGTGTTTATGTATAAAAGACTGATGAAATAAAATCTCAAATATAAGTTTTGATGTTCGATTCTTATTGCGTACTCTTATACCATTGTAAACTATATTTCAATTTGTTTCTTTTTCATTATCAGTGCCTGTAAGATTATAGTTACTGTTTATTTGTTTGATGTCACAATTGAATCATGTTCTAAATTTACAAGAAGATAAAAATAAATTTCAATGTATTTGTGCATAAGTATTTGTTGGGTTCTAAAAAACTTCAAAACAATCAGTTGCTGTTTAATACCTTTCACACCAATAAATTTCATATCGCTTGATAATTTATTGCGGTTAATCAAAAATATTGTTATAAAAAATACGAATTATTTTGAATTATGGAATATTATCGATCGCTAATGTCGACATCAATCAAACTTAAAAAAATGTATACAATATTATTGTGGTTCTTCTGGCATTCTTAAAGAGCCTCATTTGAACTTTGAATCATTTTTAATGGAGCATAATTATGTACAGGGTGAGTCAACGCTGTGGCAAAGTTGATTTGTCGCTAGCATACAGGGTGTTAAAAAAAGAGTGTAAACTATTTCAGGAGGTAATAGTATGAACCAAAATAAGCAGAAAAGTCTTAATAAACATGGGTCCGCAAAGTAACGGTTGCGGAGATATGGACCACTATTCGTTTTTCAAACATTTTATTTTATTAGGAATAAACCGACAAAGGAAGCTTTTAACAAACAAAAAACAAAGTTACAGAAGATGTTCAAAGTGCCCTCCGTCCATTTCCAAGCAGGCACGACATCTTCGTCTCAACGATATTCGAACTCTTTCGAAAACACCCTCCTTGGTTTGGATTTCTTGACACTTTTGATTAATCCGTAGCTGCAGCTCTTCCAGGCTATTTACAGGAGTACCATACACTAATGTCTTCAAATATCCCCAAACAAAGAAATCTAGAGGGTTCAGATCAGGCGATCTTGGAGGCCATAAAACAGGTCCGGCCCTTCCTACCCATCTATGTGGAAAAGTTTGGTGTAAATGCTCTCTAACGGCCATGGAAAAATGAGCTGGAGCACCATCATGCTGGAACCACATTTGTTGCCTCTGATTCAAAGGAATGTCTTCCAAAAACTCATACAGTGTGTTCTGCAGAAAGTTGAGGTAAGCAGCGCCTGTTAATCGGTTTGGTAAAACAACAGGACCTAGAAACCTGTCACCTACAATACCCATCCAAATGTTTAATGAAAAACGTGCCTGATGTCCAGATTCTATTAGAGCATGAGGATTTTCGTCGGCCCAAATATGCGTATTGTGAAAATTAAACACTCCATTTCTTGTGAACCCGGCCTCATCAGTAAAAAGAATGTTTGCAAGAAAACGAGGGTCTTCAGCATCATGACGTAGAAACCAGCGGCAAAAAACCAAACGTGCTTGATGATCATTTATTGGATTTAAGGCCTGTACTCGTTGCACATGGTATGGATAAAGCAGTTGCTCGTGAAGGATTCTCCAAACAAGAGGACCACTAATTCCTACCTCGGCTGATATTCTCCGCACACTCGTACCTGGATTCTGCTCTACCAGTGCTAGAATTTCTTCTTCTGCTCTAGGAGTGGATACCGACCTTGGTCTTCCGGATAAATGGCACTGTTTGCTCAAGGAACCGGTATCACGCAATCTTTGGTGAATTCTTCCAAACATGCGTTGTGAAGGAATCTGGCGATTTGGATAAGCGTCAACATAAAGACGTCGCGCTTCGGTGGCGTTCCCATTAGCACGACCATACATGAAATGCATGTCTGTTAATTCTGCGTTAGAGTAACCAGCCATAGCGAAAGAAAACTTGTGCACTGAGAACAACTGTCAAATACGTACTGTTTATTTCACTAAACATCAACCAACTATTATAAGAAAATACACAACGTTTTTGCAAAATAAAAAAAGGGGCTAAAAAACATAAAACATTCCATATCTCCGCAACCGTTACTTTGCGGACCCATGTTTATTGAGACTTTTCTGCTTATTTTGGTTCATACTATTACCTCCTTAAATATTTTATACTCTTTTTTTAACACCCTGTATAATGGAGGCAAAATATATCAAAATAGGTTCAGGTGTGGGGGCAAGAAATGCACATTTTAGAAATAATTTGACTTATACAGGGTGATTCATTTTCGGAGGGCTGACAAAAGTGTTTTTTCAAATGGAACGCCATATATCTCAGTGGATATTTATATTTTTATATGGAATTATGCAACTTTTTCGTAATAGGTACTATGTGCCAAAAATCAGCCGTTTCCGAGATATTAATATTTTAATATAAAAAATTAAATTTTTGGCGTTACACTTGATCGTTGCTGATATACTCGTTCTTTGAGATACAATTCAAGCAATTGTCACACATGTTGTACTAGGTGCACCGTAAATTCTGAAGTGGTCACTATTTGTAAATGTCACACCGAGTGTTCACAAAATCATACCAAATGTTATCTTTTTCAAATGCAAAACTTTTGTTTTTTCAAATGGAACACCCTATATTTTTTAAGGGGATGTGAAAGATCTTTTCCTCATATTTTACGATATTTTTAGCAATTAATTTATTTTTTATGAAAATATCCTGAGGAGGCATTGATATGGCAGTTAAACAAAATAAATGTTTGACTGTTGAAGTAACGTTTTTCTGTGATTGAAATAGTTGTTCTTAATTAATTGTTTGTATGGTTTTGTTCTTCTTGTTCGTAATGAATTTCTCAAGAGAAAAAGCCGAGCCTATAAAAGGTGTCTCGTTCACTAAAAATTCAATAGAATAAGAAAGCTACATAATTTAGGGTCACTGTTCTTTTCTGCACAAAGTAAAGATAGATTTTAAGCAATGCTTCTTTGTTTCAACTCTTTAGCCCTAGTACGTCGACGCTATTTATGGTAAAAAATGAAAAATAAAGAAATTACGAAAAATATCGTTAAATATGAAGAACCAATATATAATTCCTATTATGAAAGTTGTAGATTTTGAGAAAGTCTTTCACATCCCGTTAAAAAATACAGGGTGTTCCGTTTGAAAAAGAAAACATTTATTACGACTTTGTTAACACCCTATATGACATTTATAAACAGTGATCACTTCAGAATTTACAGTGGACCTAGTACAACATTGTCCATAAGTAAATACGCTCCTCATGGCCTTATTAGTGAGATTTGGTTGCGTATATGTATTTTATACGCATTTTGGACTATATCAATGTCCAATATGCCAAAATATATTGCAACTAAATCTAAATCCTTACGTAATTGAAAAAAAGGCAGAAATGCCTGAAAGAGGTCTAACAATGACAAGATATCTTATTTTCTAATAAAAAACCTTCTTTTCGTTTTTTAATATTATCTCGCTTATTGTTAGAGATGAACCCAATAAACCCTATATGGCTATGCTCGACAGGGAACGTTCTATCCAAATATGTAAAAATATACCGGATGTTCCATTTAAATTAACAAAGTTAGCATCCGCGGCCATTTTGTTTGGACTTCATTTGTTTTTCTACTATAATTTTCGAACATTTCATAAAAAATCGTGCAACTTTTGTATTTCACATTTTTTTATAACTCTTAAAACAAAAAAGTTAATAGGGGGGCCAAAATATACTGAATCACCCTGTACCTTGATGTGCTGAATGCAAATCTGAAGTCTTTTAAGCTGCATCTCCTCAAACATTGCAAAAATCGCAATATAATAGCGAAAAATCACCAAAAATTAGGAAAAATCACCAAAAATAGGGAAAAATCGCCAAAAATCACGTTAGCAAGTCCAAAAAAATTCTGAAAATGTTTTTCTGACCTTAATCAAGTGCGTTTCTTATGTATTTGATACGCTGAAGTCAAGTATTCAGTCTGTTAGCTATATCTCTTACAGATTTTGTAAAAACACGCAAAAAAATATCTGAAAATGGTAAAAAATCATATTAATGAGAGTGAGAAAAGATATAAAGAGGTTTTCTAGATTGCATCAAGTGTTCTTCTCATAAATTTTGTCGAGTCGAATTTGAATCTAAAGTCAGTTGAACCTGATCAAAAATCGCAAAAAAATGAAAATCGTGAATTCCAAAAAATCTTGAATAAATGTCATGGACATAAATTACTTCAAAATAAATTCGACTGACTCGAGCCAGGCTTACTTTGATGTTGCTCTTACAATTTTCTTCACTTGTAGCGAACTCTTTTCTCTTCGAGTGACCTAAGCAGCGAGTTTCTCTTTCTCTTCTGTCTATTCTGATTCGTTTCTCTCTTTAGTGTCCAACAGAAATCTGTCATCATGTTGATATCCCATCTTCTTTGGTATCGATTCTCCATTTCACTTATTCTTGATGGAATATTTCTCCTTGTTCTGCACTGAACCTCCAAGGTATTGAGGAAAGTAGTCGAGGTGAGAGTGTAAGAAGTGCAATTTAAGATTCATCAAGCAATTGTTTGAAATTTTTCAACATCTTTTCGCCCAAATTTTCCTAATCCCCACTCTTCTCATTTCCTAAAAATTTCCGAGAGATATTCTTGAAATTTTGCCATGCTGCTTCAGTGTCATTCATCCTTGTAATGAAATTTTCGTTGCGAAATATGGTACGAATTTGAGGATCATCAAAAATACTTTCTTTCAATTTTGCATCATTTCACAGTTCTACAAAATAAAACTTTTTTTGTCTTTGGATTCATTTCATGATTTTTCTATTTATTATTCACCAAAATCAAGGAAAAATACCATTATTCCGTTTAAAGTTTGCTTTTATAGTGGTTATAATAATAAAACAGATTTTCGAGATATAGAAACATTCAATAATTTTGGTATATTTAATTAAACGTACTGCACAAAAAGAGGTATTAATACTTTCTCGTGGACCTTCAGATGGCGCTTAAGTCAAGAATAATGGTTAAGTATTTTGTACAAGCCGCAAGAAGTCAAAATGTCATCGCGAAAGTGTAAATATGATTTGAACCGCGGGAAAACAAAACGTAAAATGTGAACCTATCGCTGAACCTGAAAATGTGCTAATACCACTTGCTCAAAAAAAAAAGTTGGCACAGTTTTGAAGGAGTAGTTTCTGGATTTGTAGGAAATGATAAGGTTAAAAATGACCAAAGATTAGTTGAAAATATGTTAAAGAACTTTAAGGCTATGGGTTGCAGGAGATGTCTCTAGAAATTCATATGCTACATGCATGCTCATTCAGATAAATAAAACAACATGGGAGCGTTCTCAGAAGAACAAGGAGAACGTTTTCATCATGGACTTTGAAGGCTGTTGTCAAGGCGAATATAATGAAAATATGTTGGGTGACTATATTTGGGATTTAGTAAGAGAAACTACTTATGAATACAAAAAAAAAGAGTTCATCAAAACAAGGTTCATTTTTAAACTTTTTTCAATAATTTTGTAAGCTGATATAATAGTTAAGTTAATAAAAGTAATGTACAAAGGTATTTGTTTTGTTTTTGCCACATATAAAAATTAAAATCATCGATTTTTAAAAAACCGTATAGACATTCTCCTGACTACAAAGACAATCTTTTTCATGAAATTTAATTTTTTATTCGGGTGACTGAGAATAAACCTATCGTAATTTCATACCCTAATTTCACAGTAAAAAATTGTATTAACCTGTGTGTCGCTAACCTCTCCTAAATATTGAAAACAGTCTTTGTCCAGAGCTTTGAGAAACTGCTTCATGAGACCAAGCTTGACATGAAGAGAAAAGAGTTCGCTACAAGTGAAGAAAAGTGTAAAAGCAACATTAATGAAAGGTTGGAGTCAGTCGAATTTATTTGGAAGTAATTCATATCATTGACATTTATTTAAGATTTTTTGACATTCAAGATTTCCATTTTTTTGCGATATTTTGCGATTTTTCCAAAATTTTTGGGTAATGAGGCTCAACAGACTTTAGATTCAAATTTGACTCGATAAAACTTATGAGAAGAACATTTGATCCAATCTGGAACTGCTTTCTAAATTTTTTCACACGATTTTTTGCCATTTTCAGTATTTTTTGCGTGTTTTTGGCAATACTGTAAGGGGATACAGCTAATAGACTTCAGATTCGAATTCAGAGTATCAAAATACATAAGAAACACATTTGATCACAAAAAAATTTGCGATTTTTCTCTATTTTTGGTAATTTTTCGCTAGCATGTTGCGATTTTTGCAAAATTTGGGGGGATGCAGCTAAAAAAATTTCAGGTTTGGATTCAACACATCAAAATACATAAGAACCTCACTTGATCAAGTTCAGAATAAATTTCTTCGAATTTTTTTGCGCTCAATAACGTGATTTTCGACTCTTTTCCAATGTTTACTCAACATTTTGGGGGTGTTTGAGCTAAACGGACTTCAAATTCGGATTCTTACGTCAAAATACATAAAGCCTATTGATTCAAATCAAATGTACAGATAACTTATATTTTATTTATTTTGTGTGCCGGTATAATTTTTAGTTTTATTAAAATTTAATTGCCAATATGAAAGAAATAAATTAACTGGTTACGTGGCATTTATAGAGTGGCAAAATATGATAATATGGATTTTTTTGTAGAAAATGCTATTGACTTAAATTTTATTAGAAACTTGAAATATTTTAGTTACTTTAAATTCAAATTTGTAATAGTATATATTCCGAAGACATTAATTTATTTACTAATTAACTGGCATACTCTGGGATTTCATTTAACCACAAATCGGCTTCTGGATTATCTGTTAATTACGTATTTGTATATAGGAGGGAATAAATATTTACGGCCTAAACAATTTATTGCAATTCGTAACACATTTTAGTGGAAATAAGTTTCATTTGCAGCACTAGTGATCAGAGTTGCAGAGACTGAGGATCAAGTGTATATAAAACAATGGAATTCAGAAAACTGACCCTGTTAAAGTTTTTGGAGCTGGTGAGCAATTTTTTTTGTTGTTTTTAAAGTAAAAATTGCCTAAATTAACTAATTAAGTTGTCAAAATGAAAAAAAATAAAAGAGAAAAAATGTTATATGAGTTATGCTAAATCGTTTCAAAACAGTAAATTTATTTATGGATAATTATAGCTACTTGGCAAAGCCTCTTATTTTACTTATAATTTTACATAAATAATTTGTTTCAGGCGATTGCCATTGCTTGCATTGGTTTACATTACAAAACGCGTACAAATGATTTTGATACAGACACTTTATCTTGCACCTCTTTTGGTGGTTATATCATCATTTTAATAGGAACTATTGCAGGTAAGTTTTAATATTTTTTCTTAAGCTATAACTTTTAATACCGGTTTATTTTAAAATTGTTTCGTTGGTAGAACAATTGCTAATGACCCAAAATAGTTACATACATTTAGTACATTTAATATATGTACAATTGTACACTTACTTTAAAAGTAGTCGGTTAATTCAGACATTTTTTTCTAAAAAATATGTTCGAATGAAGTCAATGTTTTTCAATACCAAAAGTCTAGATATGGAAATGATATCTAACTCGTAACTGCCGCAAACAAATAAATAAATAGGTATAAATAAAAATAAAAAATCTTCATCAGCGCAAGGTCGTTTTTTACCACTTGCCGCGTTCGACATTATTAGAATATTAAAACACGTATACACGAAGCAAACGCGAAGCCAATAACTGCCGTTGTTACCGGTTTCGTACGTGGTGCTGTAGCGAAAGGCCGACGCGACGCCTATGATCATCCGACCGAGTCCCGACCTCTATTAATAAAATTATGATGAAAATTTATCTTTTTGCGAGAAAAAGTTTTGTATTTGTCAATATTCAGTGGCAGCCGATTAGATTTACACCAAAGGCTGAGTCTATGAAGGTTTTCGTGTATAGATTAATGCAGTTCTGAACAGTTTTTATCCTTAAATAGATTTTTATATCATCAGCATATAAAAGATTCAAAGAACCAACAACATTGTTAAAAAAGATATCAAATAATAATGGGCCCAGGAACCTGTGGAGCAAATATACCAGTATACCTACTAAGAAGCTAGCAATAAAAAAATTTCGATATTAAAAACTAAAAATGATATGCACATTACTACGAAAATACATACCTAATATATTAAAACTGTTAAATAATGTAATATTTTAAATAAATATCTCATATTTAACAATAGGTAATACAATTACCCTTAACAGAAACCAACACGTAAAAACAGCTACTACAAAGAAATTTTTTGCGTTTTACTTGGGATTGTTTCATCAGGAATTAATAAATATTAATAAAACAACAATACATGTAAATAATCAGCAAACTTTCAGAATAAAATTACATTTGAAATTGTTAAATAATGTAATCATTCAAAGAATTAGCTTGTAAGCTCTGTAGCTCTGTAGCTCTGTTCTATTATCTCCCTTGATAAAGACTAATAACGTAAAAAAAAACAACTACTACGTTATTACATTTTTTATTTACCCATTTTACACTGTTTCATCAGGCTTCTCCTATGAATCAATAAAAATATTAACAGAAAAAAATTCAAAAGAGTTGAATGTGACTAGATCAATATGGTTTTTAGTAAATTTTAGTAAACTGAGAAAAGTGTTTAATTTTAGATTCGGAAAGTTTTTTTAAGTTAAGGCAAATATATCTGCTACAGCTGCTGTTGAATACAATGTGTATTTAATTTTATCAGAAACAATTTGTTTGGAAAATCAAATAAAACTTGGGTCTGTAATCATTTATATTGTTTAAAACATACAAGTCTATAAAATAACACTATACTTACAATTTTTAGATAGAAAAAATCTCGATATAGTAAATCGACCTTCCTGAATTAATTTTTAAAATATATTTTTAATTGAATGTAAGCTTAAGCATAATAAATAGAAGCAGGAGTAAATGAAATAGTTTCTATGGGCGTAAAGAACATGTAGAATATAAATTCCTCTCGACCTACATACGTTAATAGAGTTGTGTTAGGCATTAGTTTTATGACCACTTTTATTACAGCTTTTAGTAATAACCCGTTAATTTTCCTTATTTCTAAAGAGAATAAGTAACCGTAGAAAATATCCACACTTATTTTCTGCTATAAAATTTTTCGCTTGTAATCGTTTACTAAGAATTATTCGACAGTTTAAAAAACTCACATTACACAAAGTAAACATTGGAAACCGTAATTGAAATCAGGAAATTATTTGAATTATTATGAAAAAATTAAACAATATAAATACAAAGATATAAATTATAGTCTAATCTCAAAATATTTTGGTAAAAATAATTGATGTTATGCTCAAACCAATAAAGACGGCTTCACATAGTACGTAGCTTGACGCAGATCGCAGGCTAGTGAGCGGCAAATTGATTTGACCAAGCGTTAAACTATCGAACTACGCACCGCGAGAAGCCACCTTAACACACATTCAATATTTTTATAGGGGTTTTGATGGGCACGCCAATAAGTAGAAGGATCTATATTTTCTATTGTCTAGTAGGATGCGCTACTTTTGTTGGAGCAGGAGCTTTGAACATCGAGATAATGAAACACTGGGGAAAGTCAGAACTGAGAGATTACGGATTTTCGAAGGCGATTTTGGCCATTATCAATGGCTTTGTATTCTTGGCTGATGCCTTGGTGGAGTGGCGTGAATATTAAATTATTATTGTTAATTTTTCTAACATATTCATTTTTTTAAATTACAATACAATAACAATGTTTTAAGATTTATACTATATATTACTACTAAATCGTTAAAAAATAATAACGAATTATATTTTACTTTTCTACTATATGTTTTATAATTACTATTTTTTAATAAAATAAAAATAAATAAAAATTTCTTTAAATAAATATGCAAATATGCTAAATTTGAGCAAAAACCAATTAATGGCATCTTAATTAAGAATACTCTAAGGGTTTTGACTATTAGAACCATTTCTATCATTCCCAATATTTAAGATAATTTGTAGAAACGAGGAATTTAACTATAATTTAAACGGGATGTAACTTTTTGTCGAGGCCGAAATGTGGCGAAGGGGAGGACACCCCTGTCCACCTTCTGGGACAGTGTGCAGCCTTTGGGAGAATAAGACATAAAGTCATTAGTGCTGAAGAGCTGCAAGGGGTTGAGGTGAGAGACTTTCCATGGACCAAAATCCTGGCGTTCATCAGGGCGTCGGGTAGGTTCGAGGAGGGTCAGAGGCAGAGAGTGGTTAGATGATGGGACGGCGGGGTAGGCAAAAAGGGCCCACTAATACTACTACTATACAGAGGCTACCTTTAACCTTCAGGAACACGTATCAATAGTTTATTTTTAATCAGGAACTGGGCTATGCATTGTTATCAAATCCATGTAATTGTTTCTTCATATCATTATGGTGACATTGTTTATTCTTTGACGTTGTAATTTTAAGGTTAATTTGACATGGCTACGTTTTCAAATCAAGAATATGCCGCTATTCACTTGCGAGAGCGTCAGTGCGGGAATATCATCGGAGGTTTCCTGATTGAAGAATAGCTGATAAGCAAGTGTTCATTAACGTGCATCGAAAATAGTCCCTCTACTAGTATACGAAGAATATCTAATCGTGTTCATGTTAGTCGAATGAAAGTGAGGAGGACATTACACAATTTTGGTTTGTACCCATATCACATACAACCAGCAGATTATGCAAAACGGGTTGACTTTTGTCGTTGGTTGATTGCACACCCACAGCTTTGTGGACAAATAATGTTTACGGATGAAGCCACGTTTAATAGACATGGAATTATGAATACCAGAAATTCACATTCATGGGCACTTGAGAACCCTTTGGAAATCGGGAAACGCATTTTCAACATTGCTTTTCTAAATTTTTTACAAATTGTGTTGCTAAGATGTATAGAGGATAGATTTAACATGTGAGTTCAGCACGATGGCGTACCACCGCATTTTGGTGTAAATGTGAGAGAATATCTAATTAACAACTTTGCTAACCAGTGGATTGGAAGAGGAGGTCCAGTTCTCTGGCCTCTGAGGTCGCCAGACCTAATGCCTCTTGAGTATTATCTTTGGAGACAAAAAACTCTAGTGTATTCAAATAAACCACAAACCGGAGGTGAGCTAATTCAAAATATTATGGCTGAAGCTGCATTCATACAAGATGCCCCAGATACTCTTCAAAGAGCTACGTCTTCAATCATTAGAAGAGCAAGAATGTGTTGTGAGGAAGTGGGGGAACATTTTCAACCAAACCTTTAATTAAATTTCTATTAGCATTAAAAAAATTCGTAATTGATAAAACATTACATTACTTTATTCAACATGCTCTTTACTTTACCAGATTTATTTACTGTTAAATTTAATATTATCCATAACTCTTTAATTATTGTGTTTTGGATAAAGTATATAAGGCACATTCGACTTAAAATTGTCCAAGGAATAAAACCTTAAGCTATGGCCATGGAGTCACGGGACACCCTGTATAATTTTGAACCCAAAATGTCAATATGTGCTTTCCAGTTTAGGTGATTGTCCAGCATTGTACCTAGCAGTTTCACTGACGTAGAACCAATAGTCCGTCTATCGCAAGTGAAGTTAATGTTTTGTTACATTAAACTGAATATCACTATTTGACATGATCATAGTGTCATCAGCAGATAATTCGTAATGGCCATTAAGAGCACTGGAAATGTCATTAAAATAAACGAGAAAAATTAGGGGTCCCAAGACAGACCATCGAGGTACACCATTAATTATCGGAACAATACTAGAATCTTTATCAACTCCATAAAGCTCGAGTTTACGAAGAAGTATGACAGTAGACACTGAGTCGAAAGCTTTGGATAAGTCACATGTGATTGCTTCAGTTGTAAGGCCTTGATTAAACCATCGGCAACAGTACCAACAACGTCAGTTCTTGCACTAATTGTAGACTTATTCTTACAAAAACCGCACTGCTCATTANAAATGTCTTTAAATATGCAAATATGCAAAATTTGAGCAAAAACCAATTAGTGGCATCTTAATTAATATATAATACTGTCTGTAAGGGTTTTGACGATTAGAACCATTTCTATCATTCCCAATATTTAAGATAATTTGTAGAAACGAGGAATTTTACTATAATTTAAACGGGATGTAACTTTTTGTCGGGGTCATATACAGAGGCTACCTTTAACTTTCAGGAACACGTATCAATACTTTATTTTTAATCAGGAACTGGGCTATGCATTGTTATCAAATCCATGTAATTGTTTTTTCATATCGTTATGGTGACATTGTTTATTCTTTGACGTTGTAATTTTAAGATTAATTTGACATGGCTACGTTTTCAAATCAAGAATATGCCGCTATTTTATTTATGGATACTGTGACGGAAATGCGACAGCGTCAGTGCTGGGATATCATCGGAGGTTTCCTGATCGAATAATAGCTAATAAGCAAGTGTTCATAAACGTGCGTCGTCAGTTGACAGAAACAGGTATGTTTCCTAAAGCTACTGCAGAACGTCCCGTGCAGCAAGAACTTGTCGATGAAGAAGCTATTCTTAGCATGACCTAAAATAGTCCCTCTAGTAGTATACGAAGAATATCTAATCGTGTTCATGTTAGTCGATTGAAAGTGTGGAGAACATTACACAATTTTGGTTTGTACCCATATCACATACAATCTGTTCAACATTTACAACCAGCAGATTATGCAAAACGGGTTGACTTTTGTCGTTAGTTGATTGCACACCCACAGCTTTGTGGTCAAATTATGTTTACGGATGAAGCCACGTTTAATAGAGATGGAATTACGAATACCAGAAATTCACATTCATGGGCACTTGAGAACCCTTTGGCAATCAGGGAAGCGCATTTTCAACATCGCTTTTCGGTGAATATTTGGTGTGGTGTTTTTAATAACCTTCTTATTGGGCCATTCATATTTCAAGAAGTTCAGCACGATGACACACCACCGTATTTTGGTGTAAATGAGAGAGAATACCTAATTAAGAACTTTGCTAACCGGTGGATTGGAAGAGAAGGTCCAGTTCTCTGGCCTCTGAGGTCGCCAGACCTAACGCCTCTTGACTATTATCTTTGAGGACACATGGAAACTCTAGTGTATTCAAATAAACCACAAACCGGAGGTGAGCTAATTCAAAACATTATGGATGCAGCTGCATTCATATGAGATGACCCAGATACTCTTCAAAGAGCTACGTCTTCAATTATTAAAAGAGCAAGAATGTGTTGTCAGGAAGCGGGGGAACGTTTGAAGATGCACTAGATCTAACTCCATAAAGCTCGAGTTTAGGAAGAAGTATGACAGTAGACACTGAGTCGAAAGCTTTGGATAAGTCACATGTGATTGCTTCAGTTGTAAGGCCTTGATTAAACCATCGGCAACAGTACCAACAACGTCAGTTCTTGCACTAATTGTAGACTTATTCTTACAAAAACCGCACTGCTCATTAGAAAGCAACTGTTTAGATTGGATGATCCAGTTTTACCCTATTTAACTATATCCTCTTATTCAGTATAACAACACACTATAATTTAATGTCATGTTTTCAAAGCCAATGAGGTATGTTGTAATTTTTAATAATTTTTAATAACAATGTATCATATATTCAAATATATACAAAAATAATAAAAATGATGTAACAGTAATGACAACACGTTAATTTTTTAAAAATTGACCTTTGCCATAATTGTAGCCCGTGATAATCTCACCCATTATATATGAACTTGGGTATATTTCATTCTAATCAGTGTCAACACACACAAAGACAATCTTACTCCAATTATAAAAATGTCAGTGAAAATTGTTAACTTGATAGCGATCCAATGCTTTTTGTACACTTACGGCCTAAATTCGAATCCTTCTATAATTATAATTGGCGCTGGACCTTCAGGAATAGCTGCAGCCACTAAACTATGGAAGAATAACTTCACGAATATAAAAATTCTTGAGGCAGAAAACAGAATCGGCGGACGCGTCCATAGTGTAAAATTTGGCGATGCCTACCTTGACTTAGGGGGTGAGTGGTGCCATGGGCAGAAAGACAACATCGTCTACAACATGGTGAAGCAGTACAATGTTCTAAGGCATACAAACACTTCCGTGCAAATGTATTATTCTAATGGTACTGTACTGGATGAAGAATTTTATTATAATCTGGTAGACTTTTCCGAATCCATCGATGCATCTTTGAATAATACCAAGACCGAGGAGAAGTGTGGGAATTTTTCTTCCACTGGAGAATGTTTTGATAGTCTGTAAGTATAAAAAATTTATTATATTAATTGAGAAGAAAAACTGCAATCTGAAAAATTAAAATTCATAAATTCGAAGTGATCCTTTTATAAGAATTTTCGTCTAATTCAGATGAGTGTATCTATCTGATTTTATCTTCAAAGAAATTGATAAAGCAGCTTTAAGAACTAAGATCATTATTTTCTTTTCACTTGAAAATAGAGTTGCAAATCTGGCTTTCAATCATAAATTTTGTTCATAAGTTTTGCATATACATCATGTTTCTAAAATCTAGAACCACACTGAAATACGAAAAAGAGCACGTCAATCAAAGTTTCCTACGAATATAAATCCGAAAAGTAAAAAAGTTACAAGGTGATAAAGGTGCAATGTGAAAAAATAAATTTTCTTAAATTACTTAAAATTTGCTGATTGGTTTCAGATTAGATTATCGACCATAAGATTCCCATGAAGGATTTTTTTTCCTCATTCGCAGAGTGACAAAGATGCAGGGAATGATACACGATTTTTTATCTAAAAGAAATTATTATCTGTGTCATTTTAGATAAAACATATTTCTGAAAAATAATTTCAAAGAACATAAACGATAATCTCGTTCGATATTGATAATCTATATTCAAGAAAATTAACAAACCTTGCAAATGTTCCACGTTCTACTGTTCCGTTGATTTTTCTTCACCTGATAGTTCAGTCAAATTGTGTTTTTATCTGGAAAGTTGTAGGGTAATTTTGTTTTCTTCCACTCCACATGTTTTTTGGGGTGCTGAATCCGAATTTGACATTTGCTAACAAAATTTCGTGACGCAACAAAAAAATGCAAAAAAGTTATAAATCTCATTTTTTGAGGGTTTTTTGCTTATAATATGAAAACTATAAACTTTTTGTAAATAAACATCCTATTGAAAATGAAAGTATATAAAATTGCCTACAAATTTCACTATTTAGGTTTTTTCCTCCGACGAACCGTTCGGACTCAAGCGCGTATTTCGTCTGTTTCCGCAAAAAAACACAGCAAAATTCTTATTATTAGGGCTGTCAGTTAATGAATTCTTACCAGCACATGTCTTATTTGGATGTATAAGTAAAGGTGTAGGTACTTAATTAACATAAAATAAATAATGAGCAATCGTTAATAATAACTGTAACAATTTTACCTTAGAAAAATATATGCCCTTGAGCATAATGCAATGGTGGCTAAACATACAAAGAATTATTATCATTAAACATCTGTAACCATCACAATCATAAGATTACATAGAACAATTAACAAACAAAGTACCTGAAGAATATTACCTGCTAATTAATACACTTTAATTTTTCACAATTTTGCCTCACAGTCCGCCGAACGTCTTACTCCCATCTCCACACTGTTCTCACTTCAACTATTTTGGCTTCCTTCCAGAATTCCCCACCTAAGCGTTTGTTTATGCGCTTCCTTCTACCAACTGTCAATATTACGTTTTCATCATTATACAACACCCACGTAACAGGTGACGTCGAAGTTTATGCGATAAGTATGGTTTTGCACAAGTTACGTGACGAAATTTGATTAGCAAATGTCAGATTCGGATTCAGCACCCCAAAAAGCATGTGGAGGGAAAGAAATTAAAACTACCCCACAATTTTCCCGCTGGAGGTCCTTCTGAATACAAATTGACTGCATTATGAGCTTTTGGTTAGGTTTTAATAAGTCCTTTAAAATATTGTCTGAGATTTTAACGTTGTTTAGACTTGGAGAGCACATATTTGTATCGCCTCAACTTTATTGTATCCTTTAACAGCTCAAACCAATATTAGAATCTATTCACCCCTTCAAAACTTCGATTTTACAGATTAGGAAAACGGAAACCAAAAGTACCTTCGATTGCTGTCAAATTTAGAAGAAACTTGGTGGTTAACCTATGAAAAATCATTTATAAGATTTACTGAAGCTAACAAAACATAACTGGAAAAGAATAGATGCTAGCAAAAATATTCTCAACAGTTTACCATACTGTTCTAGAAATACTATAAGATTTGTTGAAACAACTTTGCCTTTATATATGTTTTCCTTATTTCCTTTAGATTCAACTCCACCTTTGCTGAACTATACAGGAATGATTCTGATCTGCAGACTATCAGTGTTGAAGCTGAGAACTGGCTAGAGAATTATATGTTGGGCTTTGACAGTTCCTTCACTTTATACGATTTGGCACGCAGGTCTGTCTATAAAAGATGCGAAGGAGACCTAACACTGAACTGGAATGGAAGAGGCTACAAAACCATCTTAGAAGTGATGCTGCAGCAGTTCCCTGATCCAACTCAACAATTACCAGTTGTCAATAACATCCTTCTGAACAGAGAAGTTAGTAGAATTACTTGGGACAACACGGGCCAAGTTCAAGTTCTTTGTCTTGACAACACCACTTATCTAGCTGATCATGTTATCTTCACACCTTCTTTAGGAGTTTTAAAAGCCAATCATCAAAGTTTGTTTGAACCTGCTTTGCCAGAGGCAAAGGTAGGAGCGATAAGGAATATTGGTTTTGGGGCTATTATGAAGATTATTTTACATTTTCCTCATACCTGGTGGGACACTACACATCCTTATTCATTTATTTGGAATGCAGCTGACAGAGAGAGAATTCTGACTGAATTTGGAAGAGGACCAGTCAGCGTAAGTATCTGATATGAACGAAACCAATAATATTACTGTGTTTGAAAAATAGTTCAAAATATATTAATCGTTCTTCTGTTTAGTTCTATAAATAAGATATTACTGTACTAAATATATCGAAACTGAAGAAGCTAATAACATTTTTAGAGCGGAGCATCATGGTTAACAACGAACTTTGTTTTCTTTACCGCTGACCAGAATCCAAAAGTCCTGATAGGCTTTTTCTCTGGGGAAATGGTTCCCGAAATGGAACAAGAAGCAGATGAAGTTCTCACAGCTGGTTGTATGTATATGTTTAGAAAATTTTTAGGAGGAACGTTTAGCAATATAACTGATCCAGACAGCATGATCAAGTAAGTCGATTGATGAATATTTAACTAAAAATCAAGATTAAGAAGAAATTGAAACATTAAATTTGTTGTCACACAGCTACATCCAAGAAAATAATGGCAAATTTGACTAAATGGACGATATTAACAAAACAACAGCCTAGTTTAACGAAATGTTATATATTTAGTATAAGACAAGACAAATTCTACAGGGTATTTCACGGTGACGGCCCATTAGAATTATTTCAGAGACTACTACTAACTAAAATAATGGCGTCCACGTACCACTTCCGGTTATAACTGAAGTCGCCATCAACTTGCTTATTTTAAATGGAACATATATTATTGCAATTTTGGATTCTACGTGTTATTTTAGGTGGACATTTATGAAGTTTACCTATTCCTAAAATTAACCGTTTTCGAGATATTTAATTTTTTTCAAAAAAATGGAGAGAAACAGTGACTAGCGCTTCAAACCATGTGTGTTTTATAGTAAGAAAGATAAAGCAACAATATTTATAGGGGGGGATAGCTAGACCCCTAAGCTTCCCATCCATACTTTCAAAGAGGCTTAATTGCATACAGGGTGCTAGAAATTTAATGTTGAGTTTAGTTAACTTCAAACCTTCATAAGTCGTTTTTTTATGAAATATCCTGTATGTTTTTCTATATTCTGATACACAATCTTATTCTATTTCGAACGGTATCAGGGTTCCCTATACCTATCTCTTCTAGTTTTTAAGTTATCTACCATCACCGCTTTTGCTATTTCAGCTGCAAGCAATTCATGGAACGCTCTTCGTATTCGAGCAATCAAATCCTCAAGCAACGGGTGCAGAATAAACTTTTTGCTTTATTACTCCCCAAACATAAAAATCTAACGGAGTTAGGTCGGGAGACCTCACTGGCCAATTTCACGGTCCTAAGCGTCTCATCCAGCTATCTTCAAATATTTCAGTCAGCTGTTGATCGATTTGATTGTGACAGTGAGGTGGAGCCCCGTCTAATTGATACCAATACTTCCTTAGTTGGTCTAAAGGTATATCAACTAGAAAATCTGCCACAACCGTTTGCAAAATATTGAGATATCTGTCGGCATTTAAATTTTCTTCGTAGACATGGTAAGAAATTAGTTTATCTTTAATTAGACAAAAACATTTACGCTTTTATTTTGAAAGTTTCTTTCCCGGATAACATGACGATTTTCAGATGACCACAAATGAGTATTATGTCTATTAAAAATACCTTCTCCCGTAAATTTTGACTCGTTTGTCTAATATGTTGCAAAAATTGTGGATCTTCTTGGTAGATATCGCACTAACATCGTTTCACAAAATTGTACACGTTGCACGGCGTCACCCGGATGAAGAGCTGAAAGTAGCTTAAATTTGTATGGATGCATATTATTAGTTCTTAGCATCCTGTGAATGGACGCTCGTGAAATGCCTAAATCATACTCTGCGGCACGAGTTGAGGATTCTGGATGAACATGAAAATAGGCTAGCACATTTATTACATTATCTTCATTTGAAGTTATTGGTTTTGGTAAAATTCTTTCTGCACTAATTCCACCATATTCTAGTTGTTTTGCTAAAATTCTTCTTAACTTTTTTCTGCTCATTGGTGGCAAATTTGGATATGTCTCATTAAAAACTGTACATGTTCTACTGATAATCCATTGCAACGTCCGTGAATGAATAATAAATTTAAAATATCAGCATTTGAATTGTTTTCTATTTCTTATAAACACTAAATTGTCTGTTACTGCAAGAGACTAACAACAGTTTAGTTGTTTGTTTTGAAGTTTTGCTAAAAATTCCACAGCTATCCTCGAAAGAAATTACATGATTTTAAGTGATTACACAAAAAATATAAAGAGAATAAAATTGTGTATCAGAATATAGAAAAACATACAGGGTATTCCATTAAAAAAAAAACGAGTTATGAAGGTTTGAAGTTAACTAAACTCGGCATTAAATTTCTACCACCCTGTATGCAATTAAGCTACTTTGAAAGTATGGATGGAAAACCTAGGGGTCTAGCTATCCCCCCTATAAATATTGTTGCTTTACCTTTCTTACTATAAAATTCACATGGTTTGAAGCTAGTCACTGTTTCTCTCCATTTTTTTTTTTTTTTATAATAAATATCTCGAAAACGGTTAATTTTAGGAATAGGGAAACTTCATAAACGTCTACCAAAAATAACACGTAGAATCCAAAATTGCAATAATATATAGGGTGTTCCATTTAAAATAAGCAAGTTGATGGCGACTTCCGGTATAACCGGAAGTGGTACGTGGACGCTATTATTTTAGTTGAGAAGGGTTTGCCCGAAAATCCGGTATCCCAAATTTTCAAAATTCAAATCGAATTAGTCTCTGAAATAATTTTAATGGGTCACCCTGTATATTGTGTTGCTTGATCAAAACCAATACATTCCGACTTCGTACGAAGATGCGATAATTTGAAGAGGAACTGTTGACTATGGTTTCTCTAAAATATCTTCTAAATTAGTAGAAGTATGAATATAATATGTTAGCTATTGGTGAAGAGTGTGAATCGTTAAAAATCATATCATTTGTTGTATTTGTTGAACCAACTGCATTGACAAACAGTTTTCTTAGATATGTTATTCTCGATATTAAGTTATGCATGTCACATTTTAATTTTTTTCTAAAACTGTACGCCTTTGCAAAAATGTTTAAGAGCTTAAATTAAAATCATTCTTTTAAGATATATGGTTTCAACATAAAAAAAATCGACATTTTCTTTATCAAGATAGCAGTAAAAAAGTAGCGGTTTCCTTGCAGCATATTTGTATTCCTGTAATATGAACCATTAATAGTTAAAAACGTGTCCCATGTTAATATAGAAATATGACGACGTTTAAAATTGTTGAAAGAAACGTTGTCCACGTAATTTAAAGTGTTTGTGTACGTATTTAGACCACCAATAAACGCCCTGCAGAAGTTTGATTTTCAATTAATGGACTCTCTGTGTAAAATAGGTAACAAATTTATAAATCAACATGTTGTCTTTTTATGAAGAATTTGACTATAACTTTAAAAAAAACATGTGGTCTTCTCATAAAATCATCAAAAATTAACGACATCGAAATGTATTCTTTCGTCATTAAAATACTGAACTGAGAAGTCAGTCAAAGCGAGCCTAGACCTCGGTGTGCTATAGTTGTAACATTACTTTCTGAGCATCCCGTACATTTTTCTTCGTTCAATATTATATTTCATTTCGCAGGTCAACATGGTACAGCAATCCCCATTTTCGGGGAACTTTTTCCTTTGAATCCGCCAAAAACACAGAACAAGGACTACCAAACATGTTAGCAGCACCACTGACTCGTCGAAATGGTAAACTAGCTGTCCAGTTTGCTGGAGAAGCCACTCATCCATATTATTTCTCCACGGTCCATGGAGCTATCGAGTCTGGATACAGGGAAGCTGACAGATTGAAACGTTATTATGCACGAAATTAGGAATGTTTTGTCTTCACTGTAGTGCCTGTTTCAATATAAATAAGTCCTTCTAGTAATTATTTATTTGTCAGTATATAGAATGATTCAGGTTTAATCTGGATAACTTCAGGAATCGATAGAACAGATTAAAATAATGTGCATTGATGATATAAACTTATTTCCTAAATAGCATCGTTTCGAAGATAGAGAGCGTTGAAGTAGGAATGTTTTTCCCGCTTTTCCCTCATAGCTTTTGAACCAGTCATCCGATTGAAGTGAAATTCGAAACACAAACACTCCTTATGATCTTACATAAGTTTGAACCACCTACCCCTCTTGGAAGTGTCATGTCTCTTACTTTATTTCAAAACTTTTAAAAAATTATCATTTTCAATAAAACAGCATTTTTGCTTGATTAATTTTGAAACTTTTTCGTTTCTTGTTTTTTTCGACATTTGGCTTTGTTCCTGAGATATTCAATGACATTTATGACCCAGCCGCATAAATTTCATTTAATGTTATAACAACCCATGAAAAACAAAACTTACAATGATTTACGTAAACTAACCTCTGTAAAAATCCTTAAAAGTATTATTTTAAGAGTATTTTTAATTCTAAGTGCCAAGACCGTTTACAAATATACCGATATCAATTATTATGTTTATGTTTTTTTTACGGTAATTCCAACATAGCAGTTCAAGAGTGCCGAACACTCTTCCCAAACAGAAGAATCCCAAAGTTTTTGTAAATGTACATCGTCGATTTTCGGAATATGTTTTGCGCCATCAGCGAATTCTTCATCCTTTTGATAACGATGGAACTTTAAGCACACGCCAAGCAGCCTGGCAACTGCATTTATCTCAAACAAAAGTACTGAAAGCACTCAAACAATATCATCGGATGACTTTCCATTTCCAACCAGTTTAAGGTTTGCTGCCAGAAGATGCTGAAAAACGTATAAATTTTTGTAGATGTATTTTAAATTCAACAGAAATGGATCCACAATTTGTGCATAATATTTTATGGACAGGCGAATCAAATTTCACAAGAGCAGGAATTATAACACAACCTACATGTTTGGGGTAAAGTCAATCCTCGATGTGTCAAACTATATTCGTTTCAGCAACAGTTTAGTGTAAATGTGTGGATAGGTATTTTAACTAAGTAATAACCTCTGTGGGCCTCATATTTTAACTATTCATTTAAATGGGGATCTATTTCACGAATTTCTGGAAAACCCTCTCCCCGATGTGCTGGAAGATGTCCCCTTAATTTACTTCAAAAGACCTGGATGCAACTGGCAGTAGCAGTGGTTGGATGAGAATTATCCACGTCGATGGATTGGACAGCAACCCAATAACCACCCAAATATGTGGACCAGTGGCTTGATTGCCGCGCTCGACAAATCTGATTCCTATGGATTATTTCGTTTGGGGCCAATCAAACAAAAGTGATGTGTGCTATTTTACAGAAATTAATTAGTTTTTCTGAAGTTTTGATATAAAGTAATTTATTCAGATTAACTGTCAAATAAATTTATTAGGGAGTGCAATAATCAGCTCATAATTAAATTAATGCTAAAATTTGTAAAAGTTATGTATTTCGTGCCAAACTATTAAAACAGTTACATTTCATATGTTCGTATAAGTTTATTAAATAAATTATACGTCACAGCAACTTGCGTTAAAATAATAGTTTCTGTTTATCTCTTGCATCATATCTTTAAATTAAAACATTAATTTTTAAAACATTAACCTTTGCCACAGTTGTAGCTTCTGATAATTTACCCACACTAGGATATTAAATTCATTATTGTTAATATATAGATGAGTTTAATTCGTCCATCAGAAATGTCAGTGAAATGTATTATCCTGCTAGTGACCAACTTGTTATATACTTACGGCCTAAATAAAAATCCTTCCATCCTCATAATTGGTGCTGGACCTTCAGGAATAGCTGCAGCGAGTAGACTATGGAAAAACAACTTTACTAATCTAAAAATTCTCGAGGCTGAAAACAGAATAGGTGGACGTATCCACAGTGTTAAATTTGGAGATGCCTATGTCGACCTAGGTGGTGAATGGTGTCATGGAGAAAAAGGTAATATTGTCTTTGATATGGTGAAGCAGTACGACATTTTGAGGCATACAAACGCATCCATACAAATGTACTATTCAAATGGTACTTTACTCGACCAAAAAATATATAATGGCATGGCGGAATTTGCTAAATCCATGTATGCATCTTTGAATAATACAGAGATTGAAGAAAAATGTGGCAACTTGTCTTCCATTGGAGAATGTGTTGATAGTCAGTAAGTCAGACATAATTTATTATGAAGCCTCGTCTATTTTGATCAGGTTTTCTGGTTGGAAATAAGGTCTTTGAAGTCATAATAAGAATGGTACAACTTTTTAAAGAATACTTCTTGTCTTCCAACACCTTATCAGTTTGGCCTAATAAATCCTTCACAATTACTTGCCATATTGTATTCTGTAGGTAACCAAGATTTCAACAATGTATCCTTCGCATGTCCTTTACAGGTTCAACTCAACATTTGCTGAATTATACCAAAATGATTCTGACCTGCAGACCATCGTTACAGAAGCCAAGGGCTGGCTAGAGGGCTACATTTTGGGCTACGACAGCGCTTTTACTATACATGATATAGCTCGAAAGTCTGCTTATGAGCAATGCGAAGGAGACCTGGGATTAAACTGGAACGGTAGAGGCTACAAAACTATCTTAGAAGTGATGCTTCAGCAATACCCTGACCCAACCCAAAGCTTGGCAGTTACCAATAACATCATTTTGAACAAAGAAGTCACAAGAATCATTTGGAACAATAGTGCGAATCATGTTCTTTGTTTGGATAATACCACCTATGCAGCTGATCATGTGATTTTCACAGCTTCTTTGGGAGTTTTGAAGGCTAGTCATGAGAGCTTGTTTCAACCTGCATTATCAGATGAAATGGTAAGGGCGATAAAAAATATTGGCTTTGGAGCTATTATGAAGATTATTTTACATTTTCCTCATACTTGGTGGGACACTTCACAACCTTATGCATTTATTTGGAGTGCAGCTGATAGAAAGAAAATTCTGACAGAATTTGGTAAAGGACCAGTAAGAGTAAGTATTTTTAAATAATATAAAATTGACAAGAAATTATTAATTAGTATTTTGTTGAAAAAAAGTTTTTATTATCTTAGTTTATACAGGGTGATTCATTAACAATGGGAAAATCGAAAACTGAAGATACTACTCGTGAAATGGTGACCATTGGCGCAAACATGCATTATCCGAAAGTTGATAGTTTCGGAAATTTTTTGCTATTATTCTGAAAATATGTAGGTTAGGAACTTGAAAATTTGTGAAACTATATTTTTTTAGACGACAAATAACACGCGCAATGTAATTTCAGCATTGCTCATAGAGGGCGCCACTTACGACCAATTTTACCGAAAATTTAGTTAACAACTTTTTACCCTGTATGTCTAACATGAAACTTGATTCAAAACCTGAAAGAGCAATAATTTTTCCAATAATTATGTACTCTTGTTTCATTTCGGTATCTCGATCCGTTTTCGAGAAAAATCGATTTAACGAACACTATGTTTTGATAATACGAGAAATTAAAAGCGAAACAAAACAAGTTTTTCTGCGTGCATAAGAAATCAATATATAACTGACTTTCATTAGGCATATTTTGGTTATTGGAAAAACTATATGTCGCAACTATGTACGTTTCTAACTTCAGTTTCCTAAGTAGAAAGAAAATAAATCTTATTCTCTTTCAAATCTGAGTTAATATAAAAAATTTAAAAGTATCATTTTCGACATTGTTTGCATTACAGAACGGAAGATCCTGGTTAACAGAAAACTTAAGTTTTATACCCGCTGAAAACAACCCTAAAGTACTTATAGGTTTTTTCGCTGGCGAAATGGTTCCTGAAATAGAACAAGAGTCCAACGAAGTTCTTTCGGCTGGTTGCATGTACATGTTTAGAAAATTCCTGGGTAGAACACATAACAATATAACCGACCCAGACGATATAATTAAGTGAGTTAGTTTTTATATACATTTTTTATTAAGGAACAAGAGAAACAAAAATAATTTGCTATTGTATTCAATATGATAAAATATTTTGACATAGCTATTATTGTAACTCTTTTTTATTTGTAAATTTTTAATATAAGACTTTAAACTTTTAATTTTACTATAAAAGGTACCTATTAAGTTAATTCAAAATCAGTTTATTCTGATCATATGCTTTTTGAAAACAACATAGTAAGCTTAGGTGTTTACTAGATATTGCGGGTGTGATTCAGTACTGGATTCGCACGTCCTACAAAGTCATTAGTCTTTGAGTATTATTTTTTGCATACCTAGATGTTGATGTTAAAAAACTTATAGGACTTTATCAGACGACAATTTTAGATTCATTTTTAAGTTAAAGCAAAAATACAAATATGGAAAATGTTAAACAGTTAAATTATTATAAGTACTGAATTTTAGTTGTTTCGAAATTTTCAAAATTCATGAATAATCAACTTTTTTAATGAAAATTTCGAAAAGTTAATTGTTTAAAAAAAAATTAAATTCTTTAAATTTTAATGAAAGGAAGGAGGATTGTAATCATGTAGTGGGTTAAAGCAATTTTGGAATCTTACGTATGCACACATTTTTTCCGTTGTTCATAAAAGTCCTCTTTTTAGATCGAGGTGGTACAGCAACCCTCATTTTCGTGGAACATACTCCTACGATTCTGCCAAAAACACCGAACAAGGATTACAGAATAAATTAGCAGCACCCTTGTTACGTAAAAGTGGAGATCCAGCCATACAATTTGCTGGAGAAGCAACCCATCCATATCACTTCTCCACTGTCCACGGAGCTATCGAATCTGGGTTCAGGGAAGCTGATAGATTGATACATTATTACGCCCAACATTAGGAATCTCTTTTCATTGATGTATATACATATTTTTACAATTAATAGCAATTAAACAATTTCTTCTTTATGCTGTTTATTTTTGTATGCAGACAAAATGATTTAAGACTTTATTTTGTACATGACACCTTTTTCAATTTCTGTTTTTATAAATATTAACTAAAAAAAAATCTGAATCCTCCCTTTTTTATGTCACTTCGTAATACTCTATGTCTATGGCATATAACAATTAATAGTAATAATAATAATAATAATGATAATGA